TCCAAACCCAGACCCAAACCCAAAACCCAAACCCAAACCCAAACCCAAACCCAAACCCAAACCCAAACCCAAACCCAAACCCAAACCCAAACCCAAACCCAAACCCAAACCCAAACCCAAACCCAAACCCAAACCCAAACCCAAACCCAAACCCAACCCAAACCCAAACCCAAACCCAAACCCAAACCCAAACCCAAACCCAAACCCAAACCCAAACCCAAACCCAAACCCAAACCCAAACCCAAACCCAAACCCAAACCCAAACCCAAACCCAAACCCAAACCCAAACCCAAACCCAAACCCAAACCCAAACCCAAACCCAAACCCAAACCCAAACCCAAACCCAAACCCAAACCCAAACCCAAACCCAAACCCAAACCCAAACCCAAACCCAAACCCAAACCCAAACCCAACCCCCCCACAAACCCAAAGCTTTTTATTTATATTTGAATGACATATATGAAATTCAGATACTCAATATTGGCCGTTCGTTAGTCGTCGATGGGTTTTCGTCTAACCCAAACCCAAACCCCAAAACCCCCAAACCCTATTAACATCAATTAGAGTCTATAATATCAGTTTCATGATGTATAATCAATAATTGGTATTATGGCCATATTTCAATTGAGATTAGACATTGCAACATTTCCCAAATTGGAAATATAGAAAATAAAATCATGAAACCAATTATATGTCGATAAAATACATAGATATACGATATTATCAAATAAAATATATAGGTCCCTATTGAAAATGTTTACCTGGTAAATAGTGAGCGTAATTTCCCCAACTTTCATCCTAATTGGTTATCTCCCTATATATATGATAAATTTCAATTATTCCAATTACATATCATAAAATATGATAATTAGACATGTATCAATCAGTGGGATTAAGTCATGTAAGATATTCATCCTTCTATTACAAATATTGTCAATTTCACACAAGTTGACTTCCGCAAGTCTGAATATGGTTCCAAACATGATTATTTCAATTATATATGATTATCATTGGTATTTGCTACTATATTAATGAGTTTGATTGAATGTTATAGTGTTTCCATA